GAAATCTTTGACAACCTTAATCTTTTCTCCATTTATTGTGATAATGCTTGTTGGTCCAGTTGTGAGGATTTTCATTTTCTTTATGCCTTGTTCCTGAATGTTGGTGACTTTTTTCTGTATTGAGTACAGCACTGAGGTTAGTAATTTAGGGATTGTTGTTGTGTGCAGTTGAGTTGATTCTAATTCATAGCAACCCTATAGGACAGAGTAGAAATGACTCAGAAGGTTTCTTTTTTCTTTTTTAACTGCTACTTTTTTTTGTGTGTGTGTATGTGGTAAAATACATATACATAAAATTTACCATTTTAACCATTTCAAAGTGTGCATCTAGTACATTTACAATGTTATACAACCATCACCACTATCTGGTTGCAGAACATTTATTATTATTATTATTATTATTATTATTGAATGGGTGAAAGTTTACAGAACAATTTCATTGTCCATATAGCAGTTCATATACATTTTGTTTTATAACGTTGACTGCAATCCCCACAATGTAACAACTCTCTTCCCACTTCCTCCCTGTCGTTACCTTTTCCCTGTGTCCTTCTTTCCTGTATCTTCCTGCCGCTTTTGCAAATACGGCCCTTCTGATCTCCCATGATTGATTGTTCTAAAGAGTGTACTTAACTGGTGTAAATGTTCACCTTATATGCACGTCTGTTGTTCGGCTGGAAACCCACAGGAGTGAGTTCAGTTCCAGGCCTGAAGGGTTACTAGAAGCCATAGTCTCTGGGTTTCACCAGTCTCTGTCAGACTAGTAAGTCTGGTCTTTTTTTATAATTTTGAGTGTTGTTCTACAATTTTCTCCCAGTCTATCCAGGATCTTTGGCACCGATCGCTTTCTGAGTGGTTGACAGTGGTAGCTGGGTGTCATCTAGTTCTTCCTCATAGGGGTCCTTAGGCAGAAATTTTTGTGGGAGCAGATTTCTAGGTTTTTTTCTTCTATAGGGTGGCTGATGGGCTCAAACCTCGCTGGTGGATTAGGAGACAGTGCTTAGCGATTGCACCATCAGGTGTCCTTATTCAGGGAGTAAGAGGATATAATTGTCAAATACATTATGTTCTGTTGGGGGGCATTCTTTTTTCCATTGTGAAGTTGAGTAGTAGCAATGTATACGCTTGCAGAAATGGAGCATACAAAAGTTTTACACGTTTTGTTATGTCACTCCTGCACATTCATTAAAAAGGAAAATATAAGTTAAAAAACATCAATTAAGGAATTGCTAAGCTTTCCATATTTGGATTCTGACTCTCCTGAATTATTTTTCATTCTGAATTGTTATCTGTAATTTTCCCTATATCATCCTCTGTGCTACCAAGAATATTGATTGGTGTACTGCATGTCTTTAAAGAGTCCATAAAGAAAGAGAGGAAAAAGCTTTGGTGCTGGCCTTTGATTTGCAGTTATGCAAACCAGCTAACTTTGACTCTTGCTTAGGGAGCTGCCTCCTTCCATTCCATTCCCAGACCATCTGGTTTCTAGGGGTTAAAAGAGTGTTTCAATATTGTTTCTGGAAATTTCTTTTACATTACTGACCTCACCTGCAAGTGTCAATGCTGGCAGTTTTGATGTTTGTGCATGTGTAAGCAGTGACAACTTCATCACAAATGTCTTATGGTTGATACTAATTATAAGAGAAATTGTGATTTCAGAAATGTCCTCGTTGTGCATTCATTAAGCACTCACCAGTTTTAACTTACCAGCTATTCCATGGGAGAAAGGTGTGGTAGTCTGCTTCCATAAAGATTTACACCCTTGGAAGCCCTATCAGGCAGTTCTGCACTGTCCTACAGGGTCTACGGGGTTGCTGAGTCAGAATTGACTCGACAGCAGTGGGTTTAGAAGAGGGTAAGGACACTTTCAGTGATTGGTTTGGAAAAGTTCCATGGGTAGAAGGTGTGATTTATATGATCAAGGCTGCAAAGGACTATAAAAAGAAGAAAGAGGTGCATCCTTAAAGAAGAAAAGTCTGAACATGTTTTGGGGCAATGAATAGACTAGTTTGATGAGAGTAGAGGGAAGGTTGTAGGTAGTAAATCGTTGTAGTATGGGGACCGATTGGGTAATAATTGGCATTTATCCTTGGATATTAACTTCAGTGTAATTCTGTGTGTGGGTTTTCTAGTGTCATGTGCATAAACCAGAGTTAAGCAATCTTATAAAAATTCCATATAGGATGAGGGAGATGAGAAAGCCTGACTAATAGAATGTATGATGTTGTTGACATTATGTGCCCTCAAGTCAGACCTGACTCATAGTGACCCCTCCTTGGATTTTTGAGGCTGGTGGGTTTGAACCACTAGCCTTCTGGTTAGCAGTCAAGTGCCTTAGGCACTATGCTACCAGAGCTCCTAGAATGTCTGTAGGTGTTGTAAAAAGGGACAGGAACGAGGGCAGCTTGTCTGAGCATGTTCTCTTTACCTTCTCAGGCTGGTTCTGAGTGCTGGTTTGGTTGAACTTCACCTACCAGTGTAAGGGAAGGAAGGAAACAGTGTTTGCATGGAAAAGAGTGGAACAAAGTGAGAAACACTTCTCTAGTCACTTAATGTTTCTGACAGTCAGCCTGGCCAGTCACAAGGCAGCTGGGGCTAGAAATCTGGGCCTAACCCTAAAGAATTTAGAAACCCTAAACTCTTCGTTTCCTAAATTGTGCTCATTTAGACACAGTTTCTGCCACTTTCTTTGCTGCTTTTTTTGCCCTTATGGAGTAACTGCTCCAGCTCATGACATATATCTTACCTGCACTTTGTATTGGCTTCCTAATTTTTACTCTTTGGGCTTTTCTCTTTCAAATCCATTGTCTAACAGCATCAGAGTGACCATTACAATGGCTTTCAAAACTTTTTGTAGAAGTACACTTCGTATTGCAACAAAGTATATGTGTGTATAACTGAAACAAACGTTTCATGTAAAACACGTCACCTTTACTATGTACAACACAATCTGATATTTTCTATTTCACTTTTTAAAATGTTTACGTCTGCTAAATTGATTCTGTTTGTTATGTGCCGTCGAGTCAGATCCGACTCATAGTGACTCCTCCTTGGTTTTCCGAGGTGGTATCTCTACAGAAGTAGATTGCCTAACCTTCCTTCCGAGGAGTGGCTGGTGGGTTTGAACCACCAACCTTCTTCTGTTTAGCAGTCTAGAGTTGGGAAAACACTGATGTGAACAATAATATGACTTTTTTTTTTTTTAAAGAACTCTTTGATGGCTTCTTTTTTTTTTTTAATAAAGTTGAAGCTCCCTAACACCAGCATACTGGAACCTTTGCGACCTGGCCCTTGTCTAGTTCTCCTGACCTGTTCGTTACTTGCCTTGTCCATTCATTGGCTCATATTTCACTCCAATAAACTAGTATAACTTTTCATAGTTCCTTGTCCTGTGCCTTTGTTAATGATGTCCACTCTGTTGAAAATCCTTTTCTAACACCATCTGCTTACAGTGTTTTACTGAGTAATTCTTACTCATTTTTAAGACTTAACTCAAGCACTAGTAACCAGGAAACTATTCTTGGCTCCATCCCCTGCTGCCTGACTAGGTTAGGTGTTTGTTTTCTCCAAAATATAGTAACTATCTCTAATATTTCACCCATTTATTATCTGTTTGCATTTTGGTATCCCACTAGATTTGATGGTTGGCTCCCATTAAACTTTTCCCAATTATTTGGCATGTAACTTGTTCTCTTTGTTTGGATGAGTGAAAACAATCTTATATCTGGAAGGAATACTTAACTGTGAATCCCTCAAGATCTTTAACTGAGATTTTGTGATTATATTTCTAGGTATTTAATTTGTTAACTTGATGACTTATGGGCAAGGGGTAAATTTCATGATTTAAAGACAGCTTTTTTGCTTTAGATATTCTCTCAAGATTTCAATAAATTAAAAACTACTGTGCCAATAGTCTGTAATTTCATAACATCTAATACTATCCCCAAAGGAGCTCTGGTGGTATAGTGGTTAGGACATCTGGCTGCGAACTAGAAGGTTGGTCTTTTGAACCCACAGAAGAATGATGGGGCAGTCTGCTTCCATAAAGATTTACAACCTTGGAAACCCAATGGTGGTCGCTATTAGTCAGAATTGACTTGATGGCAGTGAGGTGGGTTTTTTGGGGGGTGAAGGTGGGGGTGGGAAGATACTATTGCAGAGTTTGCAGTGTGGCAGAGGCCAGATGACATAAACATAGGATAGTTTTAGGTGTTAGTGGTGAATTGGCAAATGCTATAGAAGTGTAGTGAACCAGTTTGGTCATAAGCCGAGACCTTAAAGTCAGTAAAGAGCTGATATTCTGCCACCTAAGCAACACTGTCCAATGATGCGGGAGCTGAGAAGGAAATTGAGTTGTAGAATTTTAGGGATGGTGTTCTCTCTAAAACTAAGGGGCTATGCCTCTGTGCCACTCTTGGGGTCCTGAAAATTACTTTTTTAACTGATTCCCGTGCCAGCTAGGTTCCGGTTAGACTACAGATGGGAAGTACTCCAGTGAGATTAAAAGACACAAAGAAGATAGCTACCTTGTTTTTGTCAGTGGTAGCGGCAGTGGCATGTGGGTCTCTGGGTTCCAGGTTACTGGCAGGGATAGCATTCCTGGGAGCTCTGGCAGCTTCACTATGAGTGTGGCTTTGGGATTGTATAATCAACCACCTTCTCCCTTTTGTTCTTCTATTTTGACACAGAAGAATCTCATTTGAATTTTGTTTATATCTAATAATTATGTTTTAAATAGAAAGATGCCCAATTTTGAATAAAGTGAAAGCCTTTCTAAAGGGCTACATGTAATTTTCAATGATAGTATTTCATTCATACTGTAATTGTAGCTACCATATGTTTTAAATTGCTCTAAACAAAATGTACTAAACTTAAAATTAAACTAATATTTCATGATAGCTGAACTCTTAATACTCATTTCTCAATTTGTTAACTTGAAAATGAGCAGCTTATAACCTAAAATAATGTGGGGGTTGTTTTTTCTGCTTTTCTTTTTGAAGCTCTTTCACCATGCCTGGGTCACTTCCTTTGAATGCAGAAGCCTGCTGGCCAAAAGACGTGGGAATTGTTGCCCTTGAGATCTATTTTCCTTCTCAATACGTTGATCAGGCAGAGTTGGAGAAATATGATGGTGTAGATGCTGGAAAGTATACCATTGGCTTGGGCCAGGCCAAGATGGGCTTCTGCACGGATAGAGAAGATATCAACTCTCTCTGTATGACTGTGGTTCAGAATCTTATGGAGAGAAATAGTCTTTCCTATGATTGCATTGGACGACTAGAAGTGGGAACAGAGACAATCATCGACAAATCAAAGTCAGTGAAGACTAATTTGATGCAGCTGTTTGAGGAGTCTGGGAATACAGATATAGAAGGAATAGATACAACTAATGCATGCTATGGAGGCACAGCTGCTGTCTTCAATGCTGTTAACTGGATTGAGTCCAGCTCCTGGGATGGTATGTTACATGCCTCTTTTCCAGAAGAAAGCTCTCCTTGAGGATAAATAAGCCCAAATTACCTTTTAACTAGTACCACATACAGACTCTTAGCAGTTAGGGTGGTTTGAATATATTCAGAAACATAGCTATGCCTTTCACCTTAACTGAATTATGAATTGGTTATTTTTATCCTGTGGGACAATGATCAATTCAGAATTTAGTTGGAACATTTTCTTTCTTTACTAAAGATTAAGGAGCTCTGGTGCACAGTGCCTAAGGCATTTGATTGCTAACCAGAAGATTGGTGGTTCAGACGTACCAGCCGCTCTGCGGAAGGAAGACTGGGCAATCTACTTCCGTAAAGATTTACCACCTCAGAAACCCAAAGGGGGACACTATGAGTCGGAATGGACTCTATGTCAGTGAATTTGGTTTTCCTAAAGATTACGAGAGGATATTCTAGGGAAAATAGAACAGATTTCAGTTTATAGTGTTGACTGTCTTCTTGTGTGTGAGCTAACAAAAAAATATCTTGCAGGACGGTATGCCCTGGTAGTTGCAGGAGATATTGCTGTATATGCCACAGGAAATGCTAGACCAACAGGTGGAGTCGGAGCCGTTGCTCTGCTAATTGGGCCAAATGCACCTTTAATTTTTGACCGAGGTAAGTGTTTGGGAAAGGTTTTTTTTTGAAGCACAATATGCTGAGAAAATTGAACATATACAAATAAAAGCTAATACTTACTGAAAGTACGTTAATTGTGAGCCCTACCTGCAAAGTGCTTTATATATGTTATTTAATCTTTGTAGCAATCATATGCAGTGGGTGGTACCACCCCCATTTTAGAGAGAAGTAAAATGGGTTTAAGTAGGCTTTAAGTAACTTGCCCATAGTCACACAGTAAGTGCAAGTATAATTTGTTTTCAGTTCAGTGGAATAATTGTGATCCTCCAGTTAGATTTGTGAAACTTGAATGAAAACATATACCAGAAAATCTTAGGATTGTTTGTGGATTCTGTTGTTTCATTTCAAGTACACATTGATTTCTCCTTGTGATGAGAAATCTGCTTGTGGGGAGAGTTGACTAGATAGTTAAGGAAGGTGTCAGATAACACAATGTACTTACATACAGATACCAAGAAATAGAAATACATAGACATCTTCCTTTTTGTTTTGAATAGGGCTTCGTGGGACCCACATGCAGCATGCCTATGACTTTTATAAGCCTGATATGCTCTCTGAGTATCCCATAGTGGATGGAAAACTCTCTATCCAGTGTTACCTCAGTGCATTAGACCGCTGCTATTCTGTCTACCGCAAAAAGATCCGTGCCCAGTGGCAGAAGGGTAAGTTTTATCAGTTTTCCTTGGGTTTGATATCTGTTGAGAGCAATGTGATGTGCTTGGTGTCTTTAGTGAGAAAGTGATTTCCGAGCATCCTTCATTAGTATCCTTTAACAATTTCTTCTTAACCCATCAAATAGCAATTTCCTATAGTTTCTGGGAATGTGTAATTTAGGAAAAGAGATAAGCTTTGGAAATGAAGTATCACTGCAAAAATACTTAGTTTGATTTACCCCTAGTAAGAAAATCAAAGGTGGGGAAAAAAACATAACTTCAATTTTATTTATCTTTTGAGGGAAGTATTTTAATAAGGTTTTAGTTTGTAAAGTGATCCAGAAAAAAATGAATGCAAATAAATTACTGAATTAACGTGTTCCACCAATAGCCTCTTTGCACTTGACCCGTGAATATGCGCAGGCATACCTTGTTTTATTGTGCTTTGCATATACTAGGTTTAAAAAAATATATATATATTGAAGGTTTATGGAAACCCTATGTCGAGCAAGTCTATTGGTGCCTTTTTTCTAACAGCATGTACTCATTTCATGTTTCTGTATCACATTTTGGTAATTCTCACAATATTTCAAACTCTTTCATAATGCTGTTGCACACTTAATAGTATAGTATAAAAAAAATAATATAGTATAAACATAATTTTTATATGCACTGGGAAACCAAAAAAAATTCATGTGACTTGCTTTATTGCAATTTTTGCTTTATTATGGTCATCTAGAACCAAACCAGCAATATCTCCCAGGTATGCTTGTATTTGCTTTTTTAGTGTCCTCATTAATCCCAGGATTTAACCCTGAAAGAGTTCTTGAGGTACTAAAAAAGGACAGTGTATGAATGAATGCTATTCTAACACAGAGTATCACATAAAGCATGATCTTTCTGTGCCCAGATTTGCCTTATAGAGGTTGTGAAAGAGGGCTAAAAATAATTAATCGCATAATGACTTTGAATAAGAAGTAATTTTGCAATATGTAAACTGTCACATTATTTAATGGTATGTATTTAACTGTACTGTGAATTTCTAACCTTTTTTTACTAGGACTTATACTAAGAAGTAACTTAACATTGTATGTGTATGCTAAACTGAAACAAAAGTGTCATGAAATCACTTACTCATTCTATGAGTTCTATTTCATTTTTAAAAGACTTTTATTTTAAAACAAAAACTGATCCGTACTCATTAAATTGATTACATTATCCACTAATGGGTTATGACTCAGGTTTGAAAAACTCAACTCTCACTGCCATCGAGTTGATTCTGACTCATACTGACCCCTATTGGATTTCCAAAGCTATAAATCTTTACAGAAGCAAACTGCCTCATTTTTCTTTTACAGAGCGGCTGGTGGGTTTGAGCCATCAACCTTTTGGTTAGCAGCCAAGTGCCTTGGCAGTGTGTATTTTTCCACATCTAGGTGTCTTTTGTGCTTTGCCTTTTAAGCCATAGCTTTCATTGTACAGTGTATTTCTGGTTGTTTCCTCATTATATTCTGTTTAGAGATACAAAGAAATCCTAATCCTGCCTTAAAATCAAACTGCAAAAGTTAGTGTTTTATGGGAATATCATAATGTTCTTGGACTTCTCTTTCAGAGGGAAATGATAAAGATTTTACTTTGAATGATTTTGGCTTCGTAATCTTCCATTCACCATATTGTAAACTGGTTCAGAAATCTCTAGCTCGGATGTTGCTGAATGACTTTCTTAATGACCAGAACAGAGATAAAAATAGCATCTATAGTGGCCTGGAAGCCTTTGGGTAAGAGGAACTGTTTGTTTTTTTCCCTACTATATTAGAGTATTTATATCTGTGAAACTGTTGTTTGTACAGACCTGAAAAATTTAGAGTCCAAAGGATCTTAGAAGTTGTCTAGTTTAACCTATTTGTGTCACCAGGGAAGGAACAATCCTAGGAAGGTGTAGCTTACCTACACTGATTCTTCAGTCCTTTCTGCTCAGATGAACGTCTGATTTACTCCTGTTAGCTCCATTCCGATTGCCATCCTCATTATGACTTTATAAGTGCTTAAGGAGCTCTGGTGGTATAGTGCTTAAAGCATTCACCTGCTAACCAAATCCACCATTCACTCTGAGAGAAAGATGAGGCAGTCTGCTTCCATAAAGATTTACAGCCTTAGAAACCCTATGAGGCACTTCTACTCTGTCCTATAGGGTCACTATGAGTTGGGATTGACTCAATGGCAGTAGGTAGGTATAAGTGCCTATATTTACACCACCAGCCTCTTAACTCTTCTCCCTGCCTCTCTTTACTCTTTGCATCCCATATCCATCCTTCACATTGCCCCTAGCCATCCAGATTTTTCTCACTCTTAAGTCTCCTCAGCGTGCCATATGAGTCCCTGGGTGCTGCAAATAATTAAAGTGCTCAGCTCCTAATCAAAAGGTTATAGGTCCAAGGCCCCTCAGAGGTACCTCAGAAGAAAGGCCTGGTAATCTGCTTCCCAAAGACCAGCCTTAAACCCTGGGAGCACAGTTCTGCTTTGACACACCTGGGGTCACCATGAGTCAGAGTCAGGAGCTACTCTTTATCGTGTCATGCTTTTAAAACTCACTGTCTTTCTCCCTGCCTGTGTCCGTTTCTTCTCCATTTAAGGCTTGGCTCCTATAATATCATGACTTTTCTTAATAAATAACCATTATTAGGAACTTGAAACAGTATTATGTTCTATTTGTTAACAAGAAAGCTCTAATGGGTTTATTAACACATTGAACTCAGTTGTCATAACTTGTTATAAAAAAAACCTTAAAAAAGAGACCATGTGTATACAACTCTTTTTATGGTTTCCATAGCCATTAGCATGCTGTTGGGTATATGCAAGGGTGGCTTTTAACTAACAGGAAAACAGAGTCATAAACTTGAATCAGGCCCACTATCTAATATAATAAAATATAGTTTTTGAACACTGAAATTGTCTTTTTTTATAAATCTTTCAGCGATGTTAAATTAGAAGATACCTACTTTGACAGAGATGTGGAAAAGGCATTTATGAAGGCTAGTTCTGAACTCTTTAATCAGAAAACAAAGGCATCTTTGCTTGTATCAAATCAAAATGGAAATATGTACACTTCTTCAGTATATGGTTCCCTTGCTTCTGTTCTAGCACAGTAAGTATACATTTCAGCTGTTTAACTTTCTTCACTTTAAGATGTTAGACCAAATCCAGGGTATTGGGCATGTTATATTGGTGGTAGGTCATAGGTGACATTTTATTTTCAGGCTCTCTAATCTGCTATTATTCATAGATATGAAAGATTTATGAGTTGAAGCTACAGTTCTTCCAGAGGTATTTGTGATTTCACATTGGCTTTCCTGGCTATGGTTGTCATGGGTTCATTATTTTGGACCTGTAGTTGAATCATGTCTGTGTTGACTACTGCTGCTGTAACAGAAATACCACAAGTGGATGGCTTTAACAAACCAAAATTTACTCTCTCATAGTTTAGGCGGCTAGAAGTGCAGATTCGGGATGCCAGCTGCAGGGAAAGGCTTTCTCTGTCGGCTCAGGGGGAACATCCTTGTCTCCTTTCAACATCTCTGGGCCCGGCATTCCTTGGAGATGTCCATATGTCTTGGCATCAATCTTCCCCTAGATCTAGGAGATTCTCAGTGTGGAGACCATAGGTCTGAAGGACATACCCAGCTCCAGCTCTTCTTTCTTGGCAGTAGTAGGTCCCTCCTTCTCTGTATGCTTATCTCTCCTTTTATCTCTTGTAAGATAAAAGGTGATACAGGCCACAGCCCAGGGAAACTCCCCTTTCATTGGATCAGGGCTGTGACCTGAGTAAGGATGTTGCATTCCACCCTAATCCCTTTACACCTGATTGGCTGGTCACATCGTGGGGGATGATTATACCATTAAATAACTGCCAAACCACTGACATTCATGGCCAACCAAGATGACATACTTTGGGGAAACACAATTCAATCCATGACACACCATTAATCCACAATTGACAAGGTAACTTATCTTATGGTATAATAATTTAATAAACTCCATCTTTCACAAAAAGGTAACTCTTGTTTCTGGTAGCATAGTGCCTAAGGCACTTGACTGCTAACCAGAAGGCTAGTGGTTCAAACCCACCAGCCACTCCTCGGAAGGAAGGTTGGACAATCTACTTCCATAATGATACCACCTCAGAAAACCAAGAAGGGGCCACTGTGAGTCAGGTCTGACTTGATGGCACATAACAACAACAACAACTATAATATTAAAACTTTACATGAGATCCCTGATGCTATGGTATAGCATTCCTACTTACATGGCTTTCCACATTGTGGCTTGGGATCAAATTTCTTATAATGGCTTTCCCCCCCGACCACCACCTACACAGGTACTCACCTCAGCAGTTGGCAGGGAAGAGAATTGGCGTCTTCTCTTATGGTTCTGGTTTGGCTGCTACCTTGTACTCCCTTAAAGTTACACAAGATGCGACACCAGGTGAGTGCCAGGTCTTTCAGTGACGGTGTATGGAGAGCCTGCGGTGGTGAGGTTTATTCAGAGGCCTTCCCAGGTGAACACTTAAATCTGGCCCACAGGTCACTTACAACGCTTTTACCTCGTTACTTCTTTCAACACGGGCACATTTTTGACTCTGTACCCTAAAAATTTGCTTTAACTGGGTGAAGGGCAGGACTATAGCTGAGTCTTGGTATCTTATTTCTTTCACATCAGAAAAAAATTACCAGTTTTATAAGATGTTTTATGGCATAGTTTTTCCATTGGCAAATAATTTTATTTTATCTCTCATCTCATTTTTTCAAGCATATGAGGCTAGGAGATACAGGTACAGAGGGGTAAGCATATTTATTTAATACAGGCAGCCTCAGAGTCTTTATGCTAATGATTGAGTCTGATGGCATGAGTGAATGAACATCAGAATTTCTTTTAGGTTTGGTTTTATTCTAAATTATCTAATTTTCATAGAAGGGTTATGATTTTTGACTCTACTTAAGGAAATTTGTGCCTTTGCTGAGCAGAAAAGAATAAGAACAAGAAAAACTGATGGAAGACTTGACATTACTCTAAGATTACACAGTGAATTGACTATAGAGAAGTTACTCCAAATCCTACCAATGTCCTAACTCATCTGTTGCCAGATACTGAAACAGATGTGTACTCATAGGCCATAGAAAGCTGTGCTGAATACATCCCATCTTATCTACCAGCTGAACAAGCAGCCAATGGTTCTAAGAGAAATGAGAAGTTGTTTTCGTCCCTTTGGCAGTATTCCATTCAGGCTTCATTTAGGCATGCTATTTTTAGTCTTAATGTTGGATTATTTACTATTTTAGGGTCTGCTCTTGATAAAATAACAGCAAGTTTATGTGACCTTAAATCAAGGCTTGACTCAAGAACTTGTGTGGCACCAGATGTCTTTGCTGAGAATATGAAGCTCAGAGAGGACACTCATCACTTGGGTAAAAATTTTAAATTATATTGAAACACGTAAATATACATTCAGAGGCCTTAGGAGGTGTCTTAGCTACCTAGTGCTGCTGTAAAAGAAATACGACAAGTGAATGGCTTTAAGAAACAGACAATTATTCTTTCACAGTTTAGGAGGCCGGCAGTCCAAATTCAGGGCACCAGCTCCAGGGGAAGGCTTTCTGTCCTCGTGAGCTCTGGGGAAGATCCTGTTCTCCTTTCAGCATCTGGGAGCCTGGTGTTCCTTGTGATCTCCATCCGTCTTCCCCTGGGTCTGGGAGGTTCTTGGCATAGTGTACAAAGGATACACTCCTCACCAGACTCTTCTTTCTTGATGGTAGTCATATCCCTCTTTCTCTGTTGGCTTCTGTCTTTTTATCTTTTGGTAAAAAGGGGGACTCAAGCAAGGGTGTGCCTAGTGTAAGTTTGGTGACTTGAGTAAGTGTGGGACTTGCATCATGCCTCTTGTAAGGGTATGACTCAACATACAACTAACCCTAATCCTGCCTCATTAACATATAAACCAAACAAAACTCACTGCTGTCAAGCAACTTGATTAGATTTATAGTGACCCCTCCTTGGGTTTCCAAGGCGGTATCACTACAGAAGTAGATTGCCCAGTCTTCCTTCTGAGGAATGGCTGATGGGTTTGAACCCCCAGCCCTCTGGTTAGCAGTCAAGTGCCTTAGGCACTACGCCACCATCATTAACATACAGAGGTTAGGATTTACGACACATATCACAAAATACAATACTGGGAATCATGGCCTAGCCAAGTCACCATATTTTTGGGCAACACAATTTACTCCATGACAGTGGGCTATAATAATGCGAAAAGATAGGTAGGCTTTCTTTATTTAGTAATAATTTTTCTGGGTAAAGATTGTGGAAAATATGTAACTTCTTATCCTTAGTTTCATTCCCTGATGAGTTATATATCATAACTAATTTGTCATATTCTCTGCCTTTCTTTCAGTCAACTATATTCCCCAATGTTCAATTGACTCACTCTTTGAAGGAACATGGTACCTGGTTAGAGTGGATGAAATGTACAGAAGAACTTATGCTCGGCGCCCCTCTCCAAATGATGACACTTTGGAGGAAGGGGTGGGACTTGTGCATTCAAGCACAACAACTGAGGTAAATAAAAGCTCTTGGTGTCTGGTCTTATGTTTAACTTCCCCTTGATACTACCCCTACTTTGGAGATGAGGTTCTGAGAAGTTCAGTGAGGTGCCCACTCTCATAGCTAGTAAGTGTGAAGCCAGGCTTTAACCAAGGGCCTTATAACCTTTAAGTTCTTTTTTTTATTATTTTATTTTTCTGCTCATCACAGCTTTGGTGAATGCATAGTCTTGTTCCTTAATAATATAAAAATCAGCTAGCTGGTCGAGCCACCAGCGCTTGGGCTGCTAGTGCAAGATGGTAGGTCTCTGTGGCCTTCCTTTCTCTCTCACTGTGTGGGTAACACAATAAATCCACCATAATGAAGGATGCTTATTGATTTCCTTCCACAAAGTCATATGTTGTTGTTGTTGTTAACGTGATGTCAAGTCAGACCCAACTCATAGCGACCCCTCCTTGGGTTTCTGAGGCAGTATCACTACAGAAGTAGATTGCCCAAACTTCCTTCTGAGGAGTGGCTGGTGGGTTTGAACCACCAGCCTTCTGGTTAGCAGTCAAGTGCCTTAGGCACTGTGCTACCAGGATATAATATTTAGCACATACCTCTCCAAAGTGTCCTTTACCAGTTTCTCCATAAGAACTTAATTACTGCCATGACTGTCTCAAAAAAAAAAAAAAAGCTTTAAAAGCCAACAACTTTTTCCTTTCATTTTAGCATATTCCAAGTCCAGCTAAGAAAGTGCCAAGACTCCCTGCCACAGCAACAGAGCCAGAAGCAGCTGTCATTAGTAATGGGGAGCATTAAGAGACTTCTGTGAGGTTCAAGACTTTAGTGTGGGTCGGGGTGGGTAGGGTATGGGAACGGTTGGGGGATGGGATATCTGGGGACAATTTGAAAGGATTACATGTGGCCTAAATTTTTATGTAACTGACACGGAGCCTGGAAAACTATCGTGTTCTTTGGAAAGTCTTAGCTAATGTGCTTCCTGTTGTGGTTGAGCCAGTGCTAAATGTATTCAGATGATGTCAAGGGCTCTGTAAAACTTCATACCTCTGGCTATTTGTATGCATGGAGTTTACCTTTTAAATGTGGTAAAATGAATTTTGTGCTTCTGGAAGAAAAAAAACAGAGGTACTAGTCTCCAATTTAAAAAAAGAATTTTTTAAACACAAAAATTTTGTAATACTTTGAGCAAGTAAGATTTCTGAAAATGTACCTAGCTTGGGCTTAAATGCAATATGCACAAACCCTGTTTTAAGTGTGCTGTTTTTTTAAAATTTATAAATCTTGAAGGGAGGGGAGAATGAGGATGGTAAAAGTGGTTCTGGAAACTGGACTGTTGGTTTAAATCCAGCCCAGCAGTGACTGAACGTTATTGTAATGACCTCTGTGAACAGAGAGATGCTAGCACTGAGAGACTTCTGGTGTAGAAAACATGGTCCGTTCAGTAGTTCTATCTCTGCTCCCAAATCAGTTCAAGGTGGTCTATGCTGACCAACACTGAGATGTTATTGCAGTTAGGTATAAGGAAGTTTGTTGTTACAATCCTTCTTTGCACCTTATTTTGAAGGACAAGTGAATCCTTTTTCTGGCTGCCATTTTTTGTTTAAAGCAAAAAGGTGTAGGATAGGGGTCAGGCATTATGAGGTTACTTCTGATGCTTCAGTGTTATACATTCAGCTTAAAGGCTGGTGGTCTAAATTCCTGGTGTGTTCTTTCTTTTTGTTTGTATCTGTCCAATGAAAATAAGAAGGCATAACCCAAATTTTTACATAGTCTGCCGAGCCAAAAAGAGTATTCCACTTCAAGGTCTAGAAGTACAATTTATAAAGCGTTTTCTCAGACTTTCACCTTAAAAAATCAACACACACAAACTATCGCATGGGATGGGTAAGAATACTAGTTAGACAGTTTTAGATCTTTTTGGTGCTGAACATGACATGAGCCTTATAGATTGTAAAATAGTGGTAGTTGAAACTAATGTACAGAACTAAATTTTTTAAACTTTATTTGCTGTTAAATTCTGTGAAGTTTCAGTTATCTAAAATATCTTACACAAATGTAATGTTTCAAATTGCAAAGTAATATGTAATGTAGTGTTTGTAAAATACTCTTGTCTAATATTAACTAGTAGTATTTTGATTTGTACAGTCATAATTTGTTAAAATGACTTCATTTTAACATCCACTAATGTCGATTAATAATGTAAGTTCAGATTTAAAGATTGATGGGAAATTGCATGTAATACTTTTGCAAGTATTGGGAGTTTGGAATGTTTTAAAAGAATAATTTAACTTTTGGGTGCCAGGAAATGGGTTTTCTCAGAGTCCATTGCCGGCAGTGGGCAGGCCTAATAATACTTGGCACAGAACATTAATTGTACACCTTATTAACAGAGAGGTGAATAACTTTGAAATAAAGTTTTAGAGAAATAGTTTCTGATATTTGAATAGTCTTTCTTGCTCCTGGACGAACAATTTAGTCCAGAAATGAGTTAATATGCTTGTTGTGTGTGTGTGTGTCTGTGTGTTTAATAAAGGCCAATCACTTTATTCCTTGTATTCATTCAGCAGTCACTTCCTCTTTCATTCATCATTCAATAAATATTTGAGAGCCTAATGTGAGCAAAACACTGCTTAAGCCAGAAACAAAAAGATGTATAAGGTATATATATGGTCTTGTCTTCAAAGAACTGTCAGTCCAGTATGGATGATTTTATACTGATAATTTATTGTTATACTCTGAACAAATTAATTTCCAGAATCGATGGTAAGCATGTATAAACTTGCTACAAATATTCCTGAAGTGAGTTACTGGGTTTTTCTGAAAACAGAACCTAAGTGCAAAAAGGATGTGGGGGCAGTGTCCTCTGACCTCCTCTAACTTCACCAGGTAGATAGAGAGAGAAACAGCAGCAGCCCCAGGCTGATTCCTAGGAGGCAGAGGTCAGACATGCTGACACCCTCTGCTAAAGAGGCAGGGAGGCCACGTCTTCTGACCTCCTCTAACCCCACAAGAGGAAGACAGAATCACCATCAGTAGCCTAAGGCCTATTCCTGCGAGGCCAGACATGTTGCCTCCCACCAGCCCTTTCACCAACCCTGATACCAACCGTTCCTCCCCCAGAACTCGCCATCTTTCTGCTGGGTTCAATAATTCACTGCAGTGGCCACACAGAACTCACAGATTATGAGGTTTATTAGGGAAGCACCAGGCTACAATTCAAGTTCAGGAACAACATTCAGTCTCTCTCCCAGCCCACTGCCTTTCACCAACAGTCTCTCAGCAATGCGTGTCTCTCGGTGTCTCTTTATCAACAGTGCATGTCTCAGTGTCTCTTTCTCAGCAACACGTCTTCCTTAGCCAGAGGTCAGAGAGAGACTTCTGTCTCTAGGAGACCTCCTTTTGAGCCTGGCAGAGTGGCCAAACTAGCCAATCATAACAAGAATTCTAAACACCAGAGAGAGAGAGCCTCCCAGAACATTGCTTTGTGCCACACCCAACAGAAGTACCCCAGATGGACAACTTTTACAATCAGGAGCTTCTCAGTTGCTCACAGCAAATTCCACCATGGAATTTACAAAGACTTATGGCTAGAAAAGCCATACCAGGTAATTTACTACAGTGCACCCTCCAACCTTTTTATTAATTCTAAACCAACCATCCCTCCCTGGCACTCCCTGCTTCTCTGCTGGGTTTGATAATTCACTGCAAGGACCACACAGAACTCCCAGACAATACTCAAAATAATGGGGATTAGGGAAGTAACAGGTTGCAATTCAGAATCAGAAATAAGCCAAGATACAGTTCTTCAATCAGGATAGCCTCTCAGCCAAGCCACAGGTAACATCTCTCTAGCCTCAGCCTCTGCCTGCTCAGGCCAGCGTGACAAAGCTCTTTCAGCTCCCAGAGAGGCACCCTACTCTGCCAGAAATTGCCCAGTCTTCCGAAGAGTGGCTGGTGGGTTTGAACCGCCAGCCTTCAGGTTAGCAGTCAAGTGCCTTAGGCAATACGCCGCCAGAGCTCCTAAAGACAGGCTAAGGGAGAGTTTATTACCATGGAATCTCCTACCCATGACTTGGAGTTTAATATCCTTAGAAGGACACCTGAAGCTAGTCCTAATATACTGCTGGGGTTGGCTGTTGGGGCGTGGATGTGATAATGGCCTACAGTAAATGAGGTGGATGGTGGAACTACCTTGGCATAGATAGTATTGAAAAAAGAAAGTTCTAGGGGGCATGAATATTAGAATGAATTCATTATATGAGACTTCAAAGAACCACCTAATTACATCCCCCAGGAAGACATTCCCTTCACTGAAGCAATAAAGAATGCGTGCAGGTGGGTGGGCCGGAATCTGAAAAGCTTAGAAGAGGCTGCCCACCAGGGGCTGACAGTAGGAAATGCTGCCATGGTACTGGGCGTGCTATTATCAGTGGGGATGATAGGATTCTGAAGCAGCACAGGCCATGTGTTAATACTTCGATGTCAAAAGTATAATTATTATAATAGTAAGGCAGGAGTGAAAATCAGGGTGCCTTGATATGCAGGGCTTTGTGACAACAGCTAATAGATCATGGGGTTCTGAGAGACAGCTAACAAGAGTAATACTTTTATGACCAAAAGTACAATAATACTAACTGAGCAGAAGGCTTCTGTACCTTATCACAATGAGAAAAAAATGGTTCCTTAACTAGCTTACAATTTACAAATCCAGTGCACATTAAAGGGGAGGCCAGTTTTTCTCGAAGGGCCCTGCTTCCGTAAGTATGTATGATATATTGCTGTTGTTAGGTGCCAAAGAGTCGGTTCTGACATACTGACATCTCATGCACAAGGGAACGAAACACTGCCCGGCCATGCACCATTCTCACAATCATTACTATGTTTGAGCTCACTTTTGCAACCATGTTGTCAATTCATTTTGTTGAGGGAACTTCCTCTGTTACTGATCCTCTGTTTTACCAAGTGTGATATTCTTCTCCAGGGACTGGTCCCTCCAAATAACATATACAAAGTACATGAGGTGAAGTCTTGTTCCTACTTCTGGCAGTCTGTGGTTGTCTTGGTCCTCTAGTGCCACTCTAACAGGAAGTACCACAAATGGGTGCTTTTAACAAACAAGAGTTTATTCTCTTACAGTTTTGAAGGCTAGAAGTCTGAGTTCAAAGTGCCAGGCTCTAGGGGCTAGGTGAAAGTCCCTTGACTTTGGGCTTCAGCTCTACCTCTTGCTCCTGGCCCACTGAGGCTGGAGGCTTAAGTAAGACAGCTGCCAGCTGCGTAGGCTGGCAAACCCCAGGTTGATAAAATGGCACAGTCCCAATGTTACCAAACAACATGGCAGGCCACTAATTCAAGTCCATTACCATTCCCAAGATTGGCAGACAACATGGCAAGGGATTGAGATGGAGACTCAGCTACCTGCAGGGTCCAAGCATGCTAAAAACTCCAAAGACTTTTCTCAAAGGTGTATCTTACATAATGGAAGCAGACCACATCCCTAAAGCAGCTACTCAGCTACTTCAGTCGATTCCACCATGGAGTTGATTACCAGCCTCACCATGGGGAATAACTACATCCAGCTACCCAACCACTCAAAACCAGGCCCAGCCAAGTTGACACGTAACCACTGTGGTAGTTAAGGTTATGTGTCAACTTGTCTGGGCCTGGTTGAGTGGCTGGGCAGCTGGATATAGTTATTCCCCATGGTGAGGCTGGTAATCAACTCCATGGTGGAATCTATTGGAGCAGCTGAATATCTGCTTTGGGTATGTGGTCTGCTTCCCATACATAAGAAACAGCTTTGGGAATGGTCTCTAGCCTTTTGGCACACTTGAACCCTGCATGTAGCCAAGTCGTAGTTCAACA